GTATTATATAATGTACGTAATTTGGATATTTATGTTAAATATAAATATTTGTAGCTGAGAGGTACAGGATCATAAATCTCAATCAATAGTTATCATCAAAAATTAAAATAGAGAGATTAACAAACAATAATAATATCCATTTGATCCCGGGAGTGTCATAACATGGAATGGAGTATGAGAAAAGCAAGAAAAATCTCATGACTTCTGATATATGGTTTGTTTATCTTGATTTCGCCTGACATTACATACCCAGGCAACTTACTGAGCATGACGGTAAAGGCAAACTCTCTCCACAACGGGAGAGATCCTTAAGAATAACATTCAATTTTCTTCAGTCCACACATCATTTCTGAAACTGATTACCCATAAAGGTTGACTCACGGGGGTTTCAAATGAAACTCTATCCCATTACAGCCTATCGTAGGCTGAACATAGGCCTCCCCCATAGATTGCCATAGTGTCTACTCTTGGCAAGCGAGTTGGCAACTGTAGTTGTTTAATTTTTAAAAGACGCTGCTGCCCGTCTCCTGATTTGTTCCCCTCTGTCGCCTGTTACGAAACCCACAGGACCATATGAGGCAGTTGATATTCATACACCTCCACTTCACGGTAATTCCATTACAGCCTATCATAGTCCACGGTTGATCACAGGCCCCCCTCTAGGTCTCATAGGAGCTATATTATCTGTAGATGCAACGCTTGGCAAGTGCGTTGGCAACTGCAGTTTATTTTTCATTATTTTGAGATGATATCAGGAAGATGCTGCAGTCCATATCCTGTTTCAATTGACCTCTGTCCCATCTTACGAGACTTACGAAAAACCAACGAAATAGCTCTTTGCTGAATTATGAAATCGACCATTGCAAGTGTTACATTTAAACTTTATTTATCAGACCGTAGTCAACCGCTGGATGTGGACTTGTCCTTTATAAGGAAAGATTTACTATAATAATATTCACATTGGTGATTGAAATATTAGAATGTCTCGCACCTCTGCCTGTTTGAGTATTTACATGTGCAATACGTGTTGCTAGAGGTGGTAGCACTTGTTGTCTGTCTTGGATTCTGAGGAGAGTAGGAGAAGGTAAGGAGAGCCAGTATAGTAACAGGCTGTAGGTTTTCCATTTTAGTTCTCAAAGGTAACAATGTATCTGCGGCCTTCTTTATTTCAAGTTGGCTGCGGATGTTCATGGGATGCAATAGCCACTTTTTTAATAGGATAAGGGTCACAAACGAGCACACAGTCCACCTGATGGTAAGTGGTTGCTGTGTCCCACAGACATCTACACCTATCCTCGATTACGAATTAATGATGCGTTACCACCCCTGAGGACTAAGCACGAATGCCTCGTTTCCAGTAAAAAGAGTCTCCGGTTCTCTAAACTTACCATACGAGACACAGCAGTATTAAAGTCGCAAATTTACGCTGGTAATTTGTGAGAGCGCAGACTTTCCCCAGTCGAGCTGACCCATTCGTGCTACGACTATACTACTGTATACTGTACACCTACCAACTGCTCAACTGTAAGTTCGTTTGTCTCATCAGTTTTATTAAAAAAAAAATACGAGACTACAAATAACTTTCCATAGTCTCCTGTCGCGACACCCACGGGAAAAGACCGTGATGAATTCACGGCGTCCTAAGACACATTCAGAGTTTGGCTTCTTTTGCATACTCCTATTTGGTATTTGCTATGTAATTTTAAAATCTGTTTAACTGTGACTTATGATACTTTCCCTCTCGGCTGCATTCGTATGATATTTTATGTACGCTTTCGCCCTTATGACGGAACCCATAACTAATCCACATAACTAACATGTCTCTTCTGTTTCACTGCTGCTCGGATAACGCCGCCGGATATGACGGTATTCGTATTCATAAACTTTACTAAATTAATAAACAGGCATACTCCGCTACAAAGTGGACTTTCAATCTCTCCAATCCGACGAACCGCTGGACGACGTGGACCTCGATGACTATTAAAAACAAAAACAACGCATTTCAGTATTCAAAAAAAACGAAATATAGAAAAACCGACATTAACACAACATAAATAACGTTTAGTTTTAAGTGAACGCTTGCATGGTACATTTTAGTAGGTAACTTTCACTGGGATAGTTAAACGGGTGGTTCCAACGCGGCGAACTTTTTTTTCTAATATAAGTTTTCAAAAAGTACGTAGTCGGTGTGTTTCTAATGTTATTCATTTGAGAGTTTGGTTTCGGGCAGTGAGTACGAATCCCGCTATATAAAATATTATTTCTGGAATTGGGTTCTGGGTCTGCGTGTAATTCATGTTTGTAAAGGTCTCTGCAATACAGGATCAAATTAAAAAAAAGGAAGTTTTAAAGAGTCGGGATAATTTTACCATTATTGATTTTTTTTATTTTTTATTATTTAAATAATAATAAAATTAATTTAGAACAGTAAACCAACCAAGTTTTAAATCATTACGAAAAGTGGCAAATATAAATTATGCAATGTATTTATTAATTCTATTACCAAATTTAGGCGATTTAAACTCGTTTAGTTATTATTTTAAATCAAAAAGTCAAAAGTCATTTCACATCACATACATATCAATTATTATAATGTTGTGAAATAATTCTAACATTTCGCTGGCTGCAAAAGATTTATCATATTAATCGATCGGATAAAAAACGCCGCGTTCGAACCGCTCGTTTATCACGCCATTAATATAATTTTTAAAGACGTTCCAATGAGGAGGACATCCGCAACTTTTTCTGCCGCCAGGGCGGCGCCACTTTGAAATGAGGTGAAATACTTGACAGATTTCATAGCGGGGAAGTTAATGTGTTCGAAAAATGTAAAGGTTAATGTTTCTTTTCATAATATTAGTTTTATATTTTGTATTAATCACATTAGAAATAAACAAACCAAGCTATTAAAAACTGAGTTATAAACGTGCAAAAAATTAAAGAGCAAACCACTGGGACATTGTTTTGTGTATTAATATAATACTCTAGAAAGTGATAAACTTTTATTTAAAACTAAATTCTCAGTTAAATGACATTGTGTAACATTAAACTTCACCTCAGTCGCAACTAGCGACATCTGGCGAGCAGGAGATTGTTAGCCCTCATTGACATTTCCGCATCGAAATCTTAACTACAGGGTTCGCTAGGTTGACTTCCTACAGTCGTTAATGCTTCATATAATCTATCAAAACTATCACAATTACTCAAATCGACTTTATGTGACTCTTCGTTTAGATATGCTATTCTCATTCAGTTTTATAAATTTCTATTGGCGTTAACGCTTGTAGAAGATCAACTTTTGTTAATTTTCTATTTACGTTTATTTAAACTATGCCGTCGATTCCTTTGCTTTCTTCCGCAATCACGCCTTACACACTTTATTGTCGTTTGCACAGAACAATGGCTTCAGCAATAGTAATCCTTATCAAATAGAGATTTAACTTAGGTACCTGTTGCATTCAAGTCGAGAAGTCATTGATGTCGTATTTAACTGATAACGTGTTTTAACAAGTAGTTTGTAATTAGTGTCAGGTATTAACTAGTCACTGTGTCAAAAGAGTAGTCCCACGGAAATATGCGAACTGAAATACTGTGACGCCGCGGCTGACCGCGCAAGACTACTGTCGTGAGAAATACTAATAGAGAGAAATATACGGCTTTATTCGTCGTCGGCGTCCATTAATTACGTCAGGTGTTGGAGACTGACGTATTTACACTAAAAATACGCATTTAAAAAATCTAAAGTAAGGTTTTGGGGAGTTGATGGTAAGGGGTCCAGAAATGTCTCATGACATCTCACCAGGAGGAGAGGGAGGGTAGACAAATCGCGAAAATCGCCTCACGAAATGAATGGACGTTTACTGGGCCTAAGCAAATTAAATAGCGTAGCACCAGCATTATAAAGGATTTATAATGCTGGTGTGAACTGTGCTGTAATTACAGGCTGCAGTGTTTTAATGATATAAAATGTATTTCATATATGAATCCCATATATTGTGTATCTTCTCTCCACATATAATATGTATATGGAAATATTTGTCATGACCGGTTTATAATACCTTTGGTCAACTGTTCGTGTGTGGGCCGTGCTTATTAATTCTTTAGGATATTAAATAAACATTTTATGAATTGAATCATAATCTATTTGTAAGTAGCTCGTCTGTTTTCTTGAATGAAACTAATTTTACGGAACGAGAGTTGGGGTGGGAATTAGCCCGGGTTAAACTGTGACATCAGAACATTAAACTATTCTGCCCCTTACTCTCCCGTGTACATGTAAAGTACTATGTGATTCAAATAACAATAGGACTGACCTTTGCAATAAATGTTTCTTTCTTTCTGACTTGGCGCCATATTTGTGACGTCATAGCTGTCAATTCAAATCTGGTAGGGTGAGCAAAACAGATGTTTTAAAATTATATTTATTTACAAAAGAACCACGAATGGGAGTATTAATCTGAATCTAGCGTTTCAATTTCGGCCATCTCTGCATCGCTGTCTGAGCCGTCATCATTGTAATCATTATCAGCACTACTGTTTTCGTTCGAGGTCATTGACGTTGCTATTCTTATTTGAATACCATTGTACTCAAAATGTCTAGAATCGCGATCAATTCCGTGAAATCAGTTTGAATCAGTGTTTATAATAATAATAATATTTTATTCAGACTCAGTCCATAGAGATGTTAGTATAACAATAATAATAATAATAATAATAAATAATAAAAAGCCGAAATCATTGACGATGGTGATCGACTGACGGACAGGACGGACACCCCTGTAGAACAGTATAGACCTAGCACAGTATCATACACACCCTCAAGACCATCCATACCATCGTCACCAATACTTTCATCACCCCCCATCATTAGTTTAAATACAGTTCCACCCACTTCCACTTTGAATGCTGCGCGGGAGGTATCTACCTTCTTACCTGCGTCCACCAAGGCTGGAAAAGCAAGAGTTCGCATGAAATGGAGTAAAGAAGTAAATCTATTTATCATGCGAACTTATCTATATATTACTAAATTAGAGACCGATATGACCGCCTATAGACAACAATTACATGCACTTTTCACTCGACAATATCCAGAAATTACCGTTTCAGAACAAAGAATCTCAGACCAAAGAAGAACCATAGATAGGAATAAACTTCTATCTCAAGAAGAAATACATCAATTAAAAGAAGAAGTACGAATACAATTACTGGAAGAAGAAGTGGTTAATAATTATGGAGATACTAATAATACCAAACAAAGCACAAATGAAAATAGTCATCATGTACAACCACAATCGCTTAATCAATCACAACTCATTTATGCACAACCTCAGCCATACAACCATTCACAAGCCTATATACAAAGATCACACACATCCACACAAACCGAATCGATAATACTAACACTAGAAAATGACATTGAGACCATAGTTGTTCCAGATCAACACTTAACAACAGATACATATATTCAAGAAATTAATGAGAAATTTAGAACAACAATAACACAATACTCTGGGATGGACCCAGGAGTGCGACCAAGATTACCCAAATTTAAATACACGCCTAAACTATTTCGTCTAATAAATTTATTTAATGAAACTATACTCACACGATATATATCTGATGACACACAACTCATAGACATACATTTACTTATATATTGCACAGCGGTAGTAATATCTGAAGAAATGAACTTTAAAATCACAGACCACATAAGAACGCCAAGAACAAGACAAAATATAGAACCAGCGTGGCAACAGAGACTAGAAAAAGACATTGAAAAAATACGGGCAAACATAGGCAGACTCACTCAATATATTAACGGTTGTAGATCTAATAAACTAGTAAAAAAAGTTGAGGTCATATTTAGGAACAATTCCACGCACACCAGACACGAAAAAAGTAACACAAGACCCGAAGAATTTTTAGACACCTTAAAACAAAAACTAGCACTCAAAGTTCACAGGCTCAAAAGGTACAAAAAGGCATTACAACGCAAAAGAGATAACACCACATTTGCAACAAACGAAAAAATGTTTTATAGGAACCTACAAAAACCACAAACAGACACAATTGATGAAAATACCAGAAACACATCCAACCTACCTACAAAAGAAGAACTAGAAGCATATTGGGCTAGTATTTGGGAAGAGCAAAAACAACACAACGACAAAGCATCTTGGATAGTGGAAGAAGAAGCAAAATGGAGAGATATTGACGAGATGGAATTCGCAGAGGTAACAGAGACAGACATTACACATATTACAGCTAGATTACATAATTGGAAATCGCCTGGTATAGACAATATACATAATTTCTGGTACAAAAAGTTAACCTCATTACACAAATCTATAGCTAAAAATTTAACAGATATTATAGTAGGACAACAGAATGTGCCCGAATTTATTGCAACAGGAATTACTTACATGCTACCTAAAACCAAAAATTCACCTCAGCCTTCCCAATACCGACCAATTACATGTCTACCCACAATTTACAAAATATTGACATCTGCAATTACAAAGAAAATTCACTCACACATCGAACATCACAATATAATAGCGGAAGAACAGAAAGGATGTAGACAGGGCCACATGGGGTGCAAAGAACAGCTGATTATTGATTCCACTATTCATAAACATGCAACCTCCAAAAACAGAAATTTGCATTGCACCTATATTGATTATAAAAAAGCTTTTGACAGTGTTCCTCATTCTTGGTTGTTACAAATATTAGAGATTTATAGAATAAACCCGAAAATAATAGATTTCTTACGCCGTATAATGTTACAATGGAAAACAAAACTACAAATAAATTGTGACAAAAATACTATCACAACACGATATATTTCCATCAAAAAAGGCATCTACCAAGGCGACTCTCTAAGCCCACTGTGGTTCTGTCTCGCCCTAAATCCTCTGTCTCATTTGCTGCAGAGCTGTAAGGCAGGATATAGTCTAAAAAATAATACAGACGAAACAACAATATCACATCTTATATACATGGACGACATCAAATTATACGCGAAAACAGAAAAAGATATGAAGAAATTAGTAGATATTAGAGCAGAATTTAGTAACAATATTAATATGCAATTTGGTTTGGATAAATGTAAAACACTTCACACCGTAAGAGGCAAAGTAAGGCCCGGCGACTATGTAGTGAATGACACGGATGTTATTACAGCAGTGGAACCGACTGACTTGTATAAATATTTAGGGTATGTGCAACTTAAAGGTCTTGACCACGTACGAATAAAAAGTACACTAACTACGGAATACAAGAGAAGACTTAACGCCGTTTGTAAAAAGCAGCTTTCAGGTAAACATCTCATTAAAGCCATAAACACCTTCGCCATTCCCGTATTAACGTACTCATTCGGGGTTATAAAATGGTCTAAAACTGACACAGAACAATTAGAACGTACTACACGAACAACACTTACGAAACATAACAACCTGCGCCCTAAGTCCGCCATAGAAAGATTAACCATAAAACGGGAACTTGGAGGGAGAGGTCTAATAGATATTCAGCACCTAAGGCAGAAACAAGTTGAACGACTAAAATCGTTCTTCTACACAAAGTCTCACACTAGTAATATACATAAAGCCATAGTAACAAATGATATTAACTACACTCCACTTAACCTTAGCAATCAAATAGAAACCCAAAACACTACCATTGATAACCAGCAGACACAAAAAATTGAGGATTGGAAGAGGAAAGTACTCCACGGTCGGCACCCTCATGACTTGGAGCAACCACACATAAATAAGTTAGCTTCAAATAAATGGCTGAAAATAGGCAACTTATTTCCGGAAACCGAAGGATTTATAATAGCTATTCAAGACCAAATCATAAACACAAAAAACTACAGGAAATACATAATAAAAGATCCTACAGTAATTAATGACAAATGTCGCAAATGCCACATCCACCCAGAAACCATCCAACACATAACAGGCGCATGCACAACTCTGACGCAGACTGACTACACCCACAGGCACAACCAGGTGGCCAATGTCATTCACCAAAAACTAGCACTCAAACACGCACTCATTAAAAATACGAACACTCCTTACTACAATTATACACCAAAAATTACCCTAGAAAATACTACACATAAACTCTTGTACGACCGCGCCATTCTTACTGACAAGACAATCCATTATAACAGACCAGATATAATCCTACAAGACAAAATAAATAAAATTACGTACCTGATAGACATTGCAGTTCCCAACACACACAACATACAGAAGACAATCACAGAAAAAATTTGTAAGTACGCGGAGCTCAAAGATGAAGTGACTAGAATCTGGCGACAAGAAAAAGTATATGTGGTTCCTATAGTCCTCTCCACAACAGGCGTAATACCAAATCATCTCCTCCATAGCCTGACACTATTAGACCTAAAGGAAACCCTCTACATAACACTGCAAAAAGCCGCTATATTAAATACATGCAGAATTGTCAGGAAATTCATGCAAATAGAAGTAAACGAAATAGGACCTCATGAAAATACATAAATACGAGTATACACACCTCACGCTGCATTTGCTTTGGTTTCGGCCCGTAAATGTAGTTCAATTCCAGTCCAAGGACTGAGAAGTGAAAAACACTTTCCGAAAATAATAATAATAATAATAATAATTAATTAATGTTAGTATAACAATAATATTAATAATAATAATAATAATAATAATAATAATAATTAGGCGTAGGGAAGTGACGACCCCATCGCCCGCTGACGTAACAGTTAAGTGACAAAACTGCTATGTCAGCGCAGTCAGTCAGTGCCTTGCCAAGAGGTGTGAGCGCCGTGCCTCGGCAGTATTGAGGGTGCAAAGGCCCGTTTGTGCTTACGGCCACACTATTAAACGGCGCCGGGTCTGGGCGTCTCCCGTTAATTGACGCCCAATTCAATGGATGATGGAAAATTATAGAACGCGCATAGGGCCGCTGCCTGGGGGTCGCCGGGGCGCGTCTGGAGCTGGCGCTGGACGTGACAGCATGCGAGCCGCCAGCCGAGCGCGAGGTGCTGCACGACCACCTAGCAGCCCCTCGCGTCCATCATCCCCACCAGACGGCTTGGTGTCGGCGGGGTCCTCTCGGACTCGGCAAGCGGCACCCGCCGCTGGTGGAGTACGCCGCATGCGTTGGACAAAACATATGAACATAAACGCATTGCGGGCGTACTATAGGGCGAAAGGGGAAGAAACTGGAGGGATAGCGTATCGGGCTCGGATGCATCGCTTTTTTGCTGAGCTTGAGCCGTCAGTTCCCGTCACGGAGCAAAACCTGGCAGACCGAGTTCGGTACATCATACGCTCGAAAATATTTGATGATGCCGAACTCGAACGACTACGACGAGAGGCTATTCCCTCATCGAATGAACCGGCTAGAGCTGGGGATGCGGCTGTTCAGGCCACAGACCAGCAGCCACATATAGAGGGCGCCATGGATCTCCCTGCTCTGGTTGATTCAGGCGATGATGGAATAGTCACCCAAGAACTAGAGCAGATGAGGAGTAAATTGGAGGAGGCGATTGTGGAAACGCGCCTCTCGAAAATCGACCGCGACTCCCGCGCATACCCCTAAGCAAGCGGAATCGGGCTGTCGTGAGGGCTCTCAACCCAATGCTGGTCACCTATTTGGAAGCCAGCCGGGACCTTTGCGAGACGGACTCAATTCTTTTTGGCGCCGCACTGGCAGTTTGTCGTATTGTTGGCGCCAAACTTCCCACGGCTGGACGCGCTACTAGACAAAGTAGCGCCATCCCAGCCTGGAGAAGAAGGATTGAGGACCGTATCGTAAAGGCAAGGGCCCTCATCGGCAGGCTGATAAGCTTCAGGTCGGGCAATAATAGGCCGCGAATTGTGCGCACCGTCAGAATGGCGTTTGCTGGGACAAATATCAGTTTGTCCCAGCCGGATATAACGCAAAAACTGACGGAGCGCATAGACGACCTGAAGCAGAGAATCGCTGCTTGGGGGAAGCGGATTCGGCGATATACCGAGAGGTCGACACGGTTCAACCAGAATCGTCTCTTCCAGAGTGATCAGAAGAGGCTATATAAATCATTGGAGCGACCAATGGTACGTGGAACGGGCCAAGCACCGAATCAGGCCGACACTGTCGCATTCTGGCGCGGCCTGTGGTCAGAGCCCGTAAACCACCGCGAGGGCCCTTGGACGGAAGCTGTGGTGAGTCAGTGTGCGAATCTTACGCCCATGGACCCCATCATTATAACGCCGGATGATGTAGCTGAGGCGGTCCGAAGGGCCCCGAACTGGAAAAGTCCGGGGCTCGACGGGCTGCATCACTACTGGCTGAAGGGGTTCGTGGTGTGTCACGCTGTGCTCGCCCGACAATTTCAAGAGGCTCTCGACCAAAAGTCGCTGCCGAGCCTCTTCACTACTGCGATCACTCATTTGGTTCCTAAAGACCGGGATACCATAGACCCGAGCAAATACCGCCCCATCACGTGTCTACCCACGATATATAAGACACTAACATCCATTTTGAGCGCGAGAATCACTCGTCACCTGAACTCAAATCAGGTGATGTCGCGCGCTCAAAATGGATGTCGGGGCGGTGGTCGTGGAACCAAGGAACCACTCCTCATTGACGCGGTCATTGGCAAAGTGGTTAAACGCAACCGTCGGAACCTATCCGCCGCCTGGATAGACTACAAAAAGGCATTCGACTCGGTGCCTCATACATGGCTGGAGAGGGTCCTCGAGCTGTACAAGGTTGACTGTACAGTTAGAGACTTCCTTGGGCAGTGTATGGGGCAGTGGAGTACGATCCTTTGTCATCTAGGCGAGCGGATGACGGCTGCGGAGAACCACATAAGGATAAGAAGGGGTATCTTCCAGGGCGATTGTCTGAGTCCAATCTGGTTCTGCCTCTCTCTGAACCCTCTCAGTACCTTACTGGAGGGCTCCGGGAGGGGATTTCAGCTTCGGAGGGAAGGTACAAAAGTGACCCACCTTTTCTATATGGATGATCTCAAGTTATTCGCCTCCAGTCGCTCTCATCTTATGGAATTGCTAAACATCACTTGTGATTTTAGCAATTCTATTAGAATGGAGCTGGGGACGGATAAGTGTGCGGTCCTCCATGTTGAAAGGGGAAGGGTTGCTAACTCTGAGGGCATAGATTTATCTATGCCCATCAACATAAGGACCCTTTCCGAGGCTGAAACATACCGATACCTGGGTATGTCACAGAACATCGGTGTAGATGAGGCGGGTATGAAACAGTCAGTTTGCGATGTGTTTTATGCACGCTTGACCAAAGTGCTTAACAGCCTTTTGTCCGGTGTGAATAAGACGCACGCATATAACGGTTGGGTCATGCCTGTTCTCATGTATACCTTTGGCATACTTAGGTGGACTCAGACCGAACTAAACGCTCTGGACAGAAAAGTCCGCACTATAATGACGTCCCACAGGATGCATCATCCGAGATCGTCAGTAATGAGGCTGTACTTGCCGCGGAAGCATGGCGGGCGCGGCTTTTTAAGCGCGCTTACTATGCATAATCGCGAAGTGTGCAGCCTCCGTAATTACTTTCTGACGAGAGCGGATGATCCATACTATAGGGACGTTATTTCTTGTGATAAAGGACTGACCCCTCTATCCTTAGCCAACGAGCAATGGCAAGACCCAGCAGTACAGTGCATTTCCGACCGGGAGACCGTATGGAAGGAGAAGGAGCTCCACGGGAGGTTCTACAAGGCTCTACATGAGCCTTTCGTAGACACAGTCGCCTCCCTTCACTGGCTACGTTTCGGTGACCTCTTTGGGGAAACCGAGGGTTTTGTCTGTGCGATACAGGATCAGGTTATTAAGACCAACAATTATCGGAGATACATCCTAAAGGATGGCGCCGTCGACATCTGTCGAGCTTGTCGCCATCCCGGTGAGTCACTTAGGCATGTCATCTCCGGTTGTTCGGCGCTTTCTAACTCTGAGTATTTGCACAGACACAATCTAGTAGCCAGGATTCTACACCAGGAGCTCGCTCTGAAATACGGCCTCGTGGATCGGAAACTGCCGTATTATAAGTACTTGCCGGAAGCCGTGCTCGAAAATGACCGCGCCAGGCTCTACTGGGACCGGGCCATCATCACAGACAGGACTATTCTTGCGAATAAGCCTGATATTGTGCTGATGGACCGGGCACAGTCAAGGATCTTTTTGGTCGACATTACCATTCCTTATGACGAGAACCTCGTGAAAGCCGAAACAGATAAGGTGACAAAATATCTGGACCTGGCTCACGAGGTTACCGGCATGTGGGGTGGTCTGCCGACCGAAATTATTCCTGTGGTCGTTTCTGCGAATGGGTTAATCCCAGTCAGCCTCCCGGGTCATCTGAGGCGGCTGGGACTCCGTGACGGACCGCTCCAGGCTCAAATGCAGAAGGCGGTGCTCCTCGATACCGCCCGCATCGTCCGCCGGTTTCTTTCCCTTTTACCCTAACCCTCGGCCGTCTGGTCTCCCCTGCCGAGGGCTTCCATCTGGTTGGGTTTTTATATATTTATGTATTTTTTATGTATTTATTTTATTTTATTCATATTTATGTATGTTTACCATTTTCATTTACAATTATATATTTATACTGCCCAACCAGATGAGAAAACTTTATAGATACCCCAAAAATAATAATAATAATAAAAAAAATGAAAAAAATAAGACTAGTGTTAGTATATGACTTCTTTTTCTTTATATTCTTAACTTAACAAATTAACCATCCCGCGTACATTACATATATCTTACTTATTTAGTTTTACATGTAGACTTAACCAATGCCTCATAATGGCTGAGTCCCACCTATCAGCAAGTGTGATTAGGATGCTGTTGGTAGAGTTACGCAGTTTAGTATTCGCGAAATATGTTAGGAATCATTCGTCTCAAACTAACCACCATTAAAATTTGACGAACGAAACATAAAACTAGCTGCCATAATAAGATTATTGCATGTATAAAATGTCATATAAGCTATTTAGTACAAATTTTTTTTTGGTATGGAGGTAAATAATATTACAGTAGAATCTCGTTAATCCGTCATTGATAAAGGTGAAAGAATACTTGGTGAGTCTGTTAGTGATCGTTTAACTTATATACAACTTGACAGATTAAGTTTATACTCACAGATTATATTTTATTGAAGTGAAAACATCTTTAGGCACGTTGCGCACGATGGGGAAACGACTGAACTCGCGTGACCGTCACGCTCAGATAGATATATAAAAAAAGTTTGTGAAGCTAGGAACTTTTCACTACTGACGTGCAGTCCTACGACTGACAGTATTTTTTTTTAATTTTATTTATCATTTATTTTCGGACTCAATATATTGGTATAGGTACATTTTTTTTATAGGATTGGGTGACAAACAAGCACACAGTCCATTTGATGGTAAGTGGTTGCTGTGACCCATAGACATCTATATCCATCCATCCTCAATAAATAATCAAAATGCAGATGCGTCGTCACACGTAAGGACTAAGATGGAATGCCCCTTTTCCAGTAAAACGTGTCTCCGGTTCTCTACACTCACCATACGAAACACAGCAGTGTCAAGCTGCCATTTTACGGTGGTATTCTGTGAGAGTGTGGTCCTTCCTCGGTCGAGCCGACCCATTCGTGCTAGAACTATACTACTAATATAGCTGCAGCATAATAAAATAGGTAATAAATAGGTCCC